GAGAGCAGCCCAGAGCCCAGAGCAGAGGTCAAGCAGAGCTTAAGTACACTTTTTGGGGAGGGCGGKGGGCTTTGCATACATCAGARCAGATCATCATGAGGCACGGGAAAATTGAACAACAACTCTGAGACATGATTAGCACATTCATTGACGGGAACAGGCTGGACGGGGGTGATGGGTCACTTCTAAGCGGGGTACACATTCAAACTGATTGGTTTTGGGCCTCAAGGACTAYGTGACATACTACACAGAGTCCCAGGTTATTAGACAACCAGTGGAAACAGTGGGGATAGTTACTGGGCAGCTCCAGCATTGTCCTAACAGCTACAGGGATTACAGGTTCTGGGGGTAGCAGAGGAATTTTAACAATACCTAGTCTTTCACTTTTTAACTGAGGCCCTGCAGCTTGGAAACTTTACAATGCCCGGTCTTTTACACTTTAACTCAGGCTTTGCAGCTTAGAATCAGCTTAAAAATTTTACCTTTACAACTGATTGGGTTAAGGCTCTGATAACCCATTAATTTCTCCTCCAAATCTTCTTGCACACGTGAGGTTTTGAGGGACACCACATCCAAACCATAACAAAATCTTGGTTCTTTTGTAAGCATTTTAAAGTTAAACTTGTAAATGTTGCAGCCTTTTACATAAATATGATGCCTTGAACCATCAGTATTGCATGACCCTTGATTAACATATGGTCTGGTCAAAAAATCTGGTGAATTGCACATCATTAAAACTAAGTTAAAAATTTAACGTGTTTATTTTCCCTTTCAAGTACTCTGCTGTCTGTTAAACACCTCATGTTATTTTTATAATATAAGAATACTCTTTTAGGGCTGAGGTTGCTAGCACTTGCCTAGCACAGGTGAGGCACTGGGTTTGATCCTTAGCACCACATAAAAAATAAATAAAATTATTAAAAAATTGTAAATAAGGGAAAGAAAGGGCCAGTTTCCCTTTTCCTACCCACACTGTAAACAGAGGAGGCGTGTTTCTCTCGATGACTCGCTGCACAGGCAGAGGGGATCACAGGTGAATCCAACTAGAGTGGAAGCTGTGGCCTGTAGAGGTGACCGAGTCCTGTGGGGCTGCGCTCTTTCCCTGGGCTGCCAGCTGCCTCCAGAGCCCACTGTTCCTTGTGTTTGTCTTTTCCAACAACCTGGTTGCTCTTCTCCGCCAGAAGTTTGAGGACGTGTGGGGCCCTCACCCGGTGGCCCCACACGTCCCCAGGACCACGCGCAGATCAAGTCTCAGGTGTCATAGAAACAGARATGGACAGACAGAACTTTGCAGTTTCCAAACGGGGACCCTATTCAGCATGATGCCCGGGGCATTTCAACTCCTGCCTGCGAAGCCCAATTTTAACACAAAAGTGTTTTAGTTCTTGATTCTCACAGGTTGAAAGGAGCCTGCTAACAAGAATAAACACAGAGAGAAAGGGCAGGTCACACATGACTGGCCTGCAGCCACCTACCCAGGAACCAGCYTCTTATTTGTGGTAAACGAGCTGGATACCAGTCTGCCACAGGAAGCCAGTGGCTCTCCTAGAGCTAAGGAGCAGCCGGTGATGACCGGCACTGAGCGGGCAGCACACTGACTCATGGCTCCTGTAAGGGTCCTTGCTTCCAACTTCGGATGTCGCAGGAGCCAGCTGCCCCCTGTCCTGTTGAGGGCCACAGCCGAGTCGGGATGACRCCTGGCATTTTTGCCAGAATGGAGTGATTGAGAGGTGATGCCAGCAAGCCATTGAGATGATGATGGTTATGTTAAGCTGTGTGTTCAATTGTGTATTAGACCCTGCTGTCCGCCTGGGCTGCTACTTCCTGGGGAGTTCCTGTTRGTTGGGGAAGTGCCGGAGGAGGGATTTCCGGTGGGTGTGTGGCGTGTTCCYGGAGAAGGCMGCGTGCATGGCGTTTGTGGGAGTTGGGAAATAAAGTTTGTTCCTGCTTGAGTGGCTCGTGACTTGTGCCCAGCCAGACGGCAGCACTGTACCATTCTGAAGGAAGCTCCCCAGCAGCCGTCTGCCTGCCCAGGCCAGCGGCCCCCTGGGCTTTGCCCTGAGACCCTCCCTCCCCTGCAGGCCTTCCTGCCCTGGCCTGCTTTGGAGTGTGCCAGATCCTGGTCCCACACAATGGCCTCTGTCCGCTCTCAGCTGAGGTTCTGCTTTCCTTTCATACAACTGAGGACACAGTTTGGGGTTTCCCAGTTATTTGGGGGCTGTCTTTAAACTGTGGGGTTTTGAAACCACCTGAGACTTGCTGGTGGGGGCTGGAGAGACACAGGGTCTGACTCRGGGGACCCAGAAGCCCAGGGGTGAAGGGGGCCCTGGTGGGGCCTCTCATTGGCTTAWGGAGCCAGTGGCTTCCTTGACCATCTGGGTCCTGAAGACCAGGAACTGAGCGTTGGGCTCTCTCCTGACCCTCTCTTCCTGGTGGCTCACGAGGATCTGCCCCATCCCAGGATCTGGGGCTGCGTAAAGAGGCCGTTCCCAGCAGAGGAAGGAAGTAGCATCCTTCTCGCCCAGTTCTGTCCACCCCTGGACAGGGAGTGTGAATCCTGTGTCCGCTAGGAAAGCAGGAGAGGAACCGGGTCCCCACCTCAGGGCTCCTCTAGTCGGGCGAGACACTTCCCAGGGACTGACTGCCCCAGCAGGGTCTTGGCAAAGCCCAGGGGGTGTTCAGGGAGGTCTGTGTGGAGATGATGGTGTGGGCGCCCAGCTTGGCACACAGAGTTAATAGGTCGCTTTTCTAGCCCACTCTCCGCTGGTCTTGGGCGGGTTTTGCCCCCACAGATTAGATGAAGAAGATGATCTTAACACTCACCGTTTCTCCTTACACACGGGATAGAAAACCCTGTGGCTGACTGAGCACAGGAGAAGCTGACTGCTGTGGTTCTGCTCTGACGTGAGCAGTGCGCATCTCGGTGACGGCTCAGGGCTCCCCCCTGAGGGCTGGGCAGGTCGTCCTGGCCAGCCTGCCAGGTTCCAGGGAAGGGAAGCTGAGCCTGGGGAACAACAGGGCCACGGCCACCTGCAGCCCACCCACTGTACCTGAGCCTGGGGCCGCTCCAGGGGTTCCGCTGTCACGCCAACTGAGACTGTCGCTCTGGCTGGGCCTGCTCCCCGGGCCCTGCTCCCCTGCCCTGCTCCCCTGCCCTGCTCCCCGGCCCTCCCACCCCCCCTCCCTGTGCTTGTCTTTCCTTCCTGATGTTTCTCTTGCCTGGCTCAAAAAATGACTGGAGGCCACTTAAGGGCCCAGACTGAAGCACAGAAGGGAAAAGTGTCTGGTGTGAAGAAACGGACAGGGAGGAACAGGGACACTGCCCCCCCCACTCGTGGCCAGGCAGCCAGGCCTCGCTGGACGCTCAGGCTTTTCCTTGATGTGGATTTAGACCGTACTCTGCCTGAGGTCCTGGCTCCTCTGTGTTATCTGCTKCCCTGAATGCCAGGGCACCAATCCACATGGGCACTGCCCAGGAAGAAGAGCTGCATCCTGCTGAGGGGCCTCACTGCCGTGTCCTCCTCCAGCAGGACTGGCCTCCAGCTAACTCCACGGGAAAGTGTGCTTGATGACACAGAGAAGCCACTCACAGCTGGCAGAGGCTGCAAACGGCTTCCTGTGTGGAGGGGAGGGCTGCTTCCCAATCACCAGGGGCTGCAGAGACACCAGGCTTTTGGAATCCCTGGGTCCCCTGGGGGATGGCAGAGGACTGACTGGCCAGAGGCCACCGTCCAGAGTCTGGCGGCCGCACCATTTCCCGTTGGTGTCTATGCCCTTGCAGGCCCCTGGCCGTGTCCCTGTGGCTGCTCTGGCACCCACAGGTGGGCTGCGGGCGGGGGAGTGTCCTTTGCATGGACTCACACCTGTTTCAGCCTCAGCCCCCCAGTGCCCCGACCACGCTTGGCCTCTCCCCAGTGAGACAACACTGATGCAGCCTCCTTGTTGGGTTCCACAAAGCCACAGACATGCAGCAGGCCAGCCTGGGGCCAGGCGAGGTGCACTCTCTGTGTGCCCTTACAGCCTGCGCCATCTTCCTGCTCTTACCTGAAACACAGGGGTGCTGCCCGAGGCAGGACCTGCRCTCCCGCCTGGCGCTCCTCCTCCTCGGCATGGACTGCAGCCTGTGTTCTGCACTCACAGGAGGCAGGGAGCAGCTTCTCCGGACATGCACTTGACTGGCCTCCATGCTGGCCCCCCGGCCTCACCTGTTCACAGTTCCCTGGCTTCATCCCAGTCATCTTCCCGTGTTTAAGGATCATGTGTGTGCTGGAACCCAGGGCTTCCCGAGCACCTGGCAAGCACTCCGCCTCTGAGCTGCACCTGCCCCTCTAAGGATCCTTTCAACAGCTCCAACAGGGGCGATTTTCATGAACCCTTACTTATTCCTCTATGATAGAATTTTAAGGCTGTTTTAATTTATTTTGATGCATTTGCAACTCTTTCAATAGTTTTAGGATAAAGTTGGGTAATTTGGGGTCAAAATCTTGAATTTTCAAAGAGTTTTGACATTAGTTAAGTTACTGTTTGAAAGTGCTATCACTTCTGGGGCACACACTGCTCCTGGGGAAAATGGCTTTTAATCATCAGGTGACAGACCTGGGGCATGGCAGTCACCATCTGCAGGAACATCATTTGTTCCTACAGGTCGGACATCACTGGTTCCAATGGGAGCCGTCGATGTGGGAGCTGTTCAGTGACAACATGGTCACCTAGAGTATGAGGACTGCACCTTTGTTCCCAGCAGATGTCCTGTCCCTGGGGACACCTGAGTGACAGGGGCAGTGTCCTCACCTCCAGGCACACTCTGAGCTGGGAGGTGCTGCAGGAAATGTGACAAAATTGTGTTTTCAAAAAGGACACTGTGGGCAGACCAGGAAAGCCCTCACAGCTGTTCCCTCTGACCAGCCCTCCATAGTGCGGCAGTGCAGAGTCGCTCTGGTTTGGGGGCCAGAGGTYCAGGGAAGACGCAGAGCCGGGTAGAGATCCTTCGTGCTACAAACGTGGCAACACCTCTTTATTTAGATAAGATGTGTTCACATCCAGCATGACAAAGTTTGTACAAAGTTCACAATTTAAAAATGAAGTATCACAGCAACTTGTGATTCCACACATTTATAGCAAAATTAAAGTGTCAACAAACCCATGCCGTGTAGTACAAAAATAAATCAAACTTCAGTTCCACAGAGAGCACAATAAATAGTTTATACAAAATTCTGTCTTGATAAATGATTGCTTAAATTAACTCAAATGAATATGAACAATAAGTTATAATAAATAAGCTCTGGTAACTCACAATAGCCCATATGGTCAGCATTCTAACAGGTGGCACTGTGATCCCTATACAACAGTCACAGATGACTCTGATTGATTATGTACCAACGTTACATGAGCAGCAGGTTTGTGCTTAGTGTCCCTTTCCATTGTACATGGGGGATGACAATGAGAATCCAAACCGATACTACCTATTACTCTACTAAAAGCATACTACATTGGCCGAGAAGCTGCAGACGAGACGCGAGGGAATGCGTGTGCCGCTATGAACAGGGGCCCTCCGAGGCGAGGCCCGGACCGTGTATGGCATCAGGTGACAGTGAGCACCTTGCTTCTGCTCTCAAAAGGCATTTCTGAGCATGGCAGCTAGGACTAGTCGCACAACAGAAGGGGCGTGCCAGGGCGCCGAGCAGTGACGTCGTCTTCTCCCAGCYAGGAATGACCGTCCTGGAGAACTGTAGGCGTCTGTACAGTGAACAGTATAAAGTGCCGCTGGGATGTACACACATCTATACACATATATATACCGAGGTCGAGTATTGTATCAGAATGTTCGTCGTGAGATCCCTGTAGTCTCCCTGGGCTACGCGGTGGGTCAGCCGGGGGGGCCTCCGCTCTCATCCGTCCAGCTTCATGTCGCGAGGCGACCGACACAGGAATTGCACACCTCCGTACGGATAATAGGACAAGGTAAGTGCAAATAGTCGACTGGCACATTGTGGGGACAATGACCCTGTAAGTCCTGTTCTGCTAAAAATATTTTTTTTTAATTTTTACAAAACCCATCTTTTTTTTCATAACAAAATTTTAAAGTACTTTTGTACTTCCTGCATAACATCAAGACATGGAAGGAGAGATGCTACTAAAAGAAATCAACATCAGGAAACACAACACATCGTCAAAAGACTACTTAGAAGGGGAACGCAGCCGTCAAAAGTGGTCTTATGCATACAGATAGTGCAGTCATTGGAGTCAAACAATCCAATCCTGAAGGTGTAAGAAGTCTAAGATGACCTAGTTCAAAGCAAAAAGTGCTGCAGTATATTAGTCAGGTTAAACTCTGATTGCATTCATTCTCAGCATAGGGCACAATAACCAACAAGGCTAGGCAATGCTCTGTGGTCACCTGGACCCGCGAGGGCAGAGCGTAAGCGTCCGTCGTTCTCAGAGCGCTCTGAATAGGGCCAGAGCCGATTCAGAGTCAGGGTCGGGTGGGGCGAGGGGTGGGAAACTTTACAGAGCTGCTTTCCCACCGTCCAGCAGGAAATTCAGTCCAGAAACCAGAGTGCTCACAGCCGTCAGCTTTTGTCCCTCAAACGTGAAATGAGAATAGCAACGATAATGATTTTTTAAAAGTGAAAAGGGGAAATAAATGCTCTTAAATTATCTTTTTGCTCAAATTGAAAGCACACAACTTCTGTTAGGTAAACTATGTTGCGGGAACAGTTCAGAGGGGCACGGGACTCTAGGAGAGATAAGAGAAGGTTGTTCCAGAGGGTACTGAGAACGCAAAAGGAAATCTTCGTGCTGTCCACCTCTGACAAGGTCCTGTCTTAACGGAAGTCTCCAGAGTCACACCATGTAATGTTTAGGAGTTAATTTAAAAGTGCTGCTTAAGCTGCTTTGAATCTTCTGCCAAGTTTCCATGGCTTGATGTTGTCTTACAATAAATTACTTATTTCATTTCTTACAGTTAATCCATATGCCATTTCCTTGGAATGCAAAAAACCTCATTTATTGCCCCCACCATACACCATCCTCCTAAAACAAACAAACAAAAAAATCACATAATATTTCCAAGCATTGTTCAAAAATAAAGCATTTTGCAACCAATTCTCGCTATGAAACAATATGCACACAAAATGTATTTCTTAAATTCCATAAAGTCCTCCAACACGAGGCAAAATGATAATGTCTAAAAAGTGGCCATGGGGCCACAACATGGTCATTCAAAGCTGTTTTTTTTTCTTTTTCTTTTTTGTCCATTTCAGTTCAAAATACTAAAACATTTAATCACTAAAGCATTAAAAAGAATTTACACTCTATTTATTTTGATCAGCTTACCTCTTCAGAAATATATATACCCCCAGTGTGCATACAGTAGCAGCTATAAACATTACACGGCAGATCACACTACGTCAGCTCTTAGGAAAACGTACAAAATGTGAATGTGTTCAAAAACTATTCTGCAGGTGCTATCTTAAAGCAAGACACAAAACCGTGTGGAGTCTCGTAAGCATAACACTGTTCCGACAGAAATAAATAGAACGCTGTCTGGCAACAAGTCACAGCAGCCGAAACCAAGAGGCGTCCTTTCTTAGCATGAGTCTCGCCACTAGAGCAGCTGTTCAGACCTGAATTCCTCTCACAGCCTGCTTTATATTTTCCAGTAGGGCCTTATTTTCTGGACTCTGATAACGGTCTTGATTTGTATACATTTCCGTCAAAGTAGTCACGTAAGCATCAAAATTTTGTTCATTGATTGGATCCTACGAAATATTAAATAGTAGTTCATACACAACTTTTATTTTCTTCATAGTATATTCACAACAGCATAAAACAGAGCATAGCACCCTGCCCCTGCGTCATCCACTAGACAGCCTGTCGGCAACTCGGCTTCATGGGTCCGCCCACCACGGTGGCTAGCGGGCAACGACATGGCTTTGGGATGGTGACCAAGGTGCCCAAAGGCGGAGGACCATGGAGTGATGGCACAGGACATCTATCCAGGTGAGAAGGGAGGCYGCCCTCCGGGCGCTCATTCACTTACCATGTGAGGCAGCTGGATGTTGGCCAGGCTGTGGATCAGGGACTGGCTCAGGTTGGCCAGCTCGTGCAGCAGGGACTCGTTCTGCTGCTCGATGACCTTGTTCTCCTCCTCGATCGTCTTCAGGTTGCTTTCCATCGTGGTGATCTAGAACACACACGTGTGTGACATGTAACACACGTCGCCTGGGTGTGCGCCCAGACTGCCCAGTGCACGCAGCGTATGCAGAGGACCGGCCACCCGAAGGGCTGGTTCTCAGCCTTCTGGTCCGTTACACTAGAAAACGTGTGAACTGGGGCTGGGCATATAGCCCAGTTGGCAGAGTGCTGGCCTCGCATGCCCAAGCCCTGGGTTCAATCCCCAGCAAGTCACAAAAGGAAAAAAGAAAGAAAGAAAATGTGGCAACTGGACTAGCTGGACTAGCTGGACTAGCTGGACTAGCAGGGGAAGTCCTTGAAGATTCCGGGTGGCTGCTACTTTTCAGCTTTGGATGTTTTGAGAGTTGCTGCAGGTGGAGGTCTCCTAATGATGGTCCCCAGCCTGGTGCTGTCCCCTGGAGGCTCCCTGGACAGTGCTGGGACCTGAGTTGGCAGTTACTGACTGAGTGCTGAAGCTTCCTCTTTCCATCTGGCCCCAGCTAAGTCCTAATGGCTCCCATTCCTCTTCCTGCTCAGGTGGGGCCTGGGGCCGCTCTGTCCACCAGGCTTCYGGCCTAGACTTGCTTCCTCTCAGGACCAGGTCAGGACCCGACTGGGGCCTTGGGCCTCCCCAGGTCGCACAGAGACAGTCCCCCGTGCTCCGAGTCTCTGCTGTCCTCTCCTCACAGCCCTGGATTCTCAGCCGTGACCCGGGCCTCTCCCTGGGCAGCTGACCGAGGAGCCTGGCTCTCTGGCATCTTCTTCCCGCCGGCCACTCTGGGCTCCCATCCCCACCTCTCCCCACTGCTGTGCCCTCGTCTGGATATGGGGTGTACCTCCTGGGTGCCTCTCCTCTTCACGGCAGCTGGGGCCCGGGCTGGTGTGGAAGCCCAGGGTGTGACCTGCTGACGCCCCTCGTGGTGACGCCCCTCGGCAGTGGGTGGAGGGGGTTCTCCAGCCCACCGTCCTCCAGGGCACTGCGCCAGGCCTCCTTTCCCGCTCCCCTGGGCGACTCTCTCTTGTTAAAGTCCCATCTCCGGGAACCCGTGCCGGCCACAGTGGGTGTGTGGCAAGCCCACTTCCCTGGAGGAGCCTGCCCCAGGTCCTGGCAGGCTGTGCCTCCCCCTCCAGGCCTGTGTCCCCATGTGCAGCGTGAGCTCCTCAGCACGGAACACAGCGGAGGGCTGTCAGGGCTGCCAGAGCTCCGYGGGGTCACCAGGCAGGGGAGAGCAGGCCGAGTGCAGAGGCCCTGACCCTGCTCCACGCAGGGGCCACCCAGGGCACTGGCCTRGTTCCCTGGGCTCAGCACCCCGAGGCTTCCTCCACCCTCACCCTCAGCAGGTCTCTGTGACGCCAGCCCTGCTCCCCTCTGCGCCTGGTGGCTCTGACCCACTCCCAGGCCATTTCTCTTCCAYGAGGACTGACACACAAAGTGAGGGCCTAGGCACCCCACACCTGAGGCTCCCAGGGTCACTCCTTGTCTGCCTGTCTCACCAGCATTGGTGGGGACACACTGAAGATCGATTTCTCTTTAACCCAGCTATCCCACTCCTCAGTTTATACCCCAAAGACTTAAAAACAGCACACTAAGGCGACACAGACGCATCAATGTTATAGCAGCACAATTCACTATAGCTAAACTGTGGAGCCAACCTAGACGCCCTTCAGTAGATGAATGGTTAAGGAAACRTGGCCTATATACACAATGGAATAGTACTTGGAAATAAAAGATAATAAAATCWTGGCATTTGCAGGTAAATGGATGGAGTTGGAGACGATCAGGCTGAGTGAATTAAGCCAATCCCCCCAAACCAAATGCTGAATGTTTTCTCTGAGATGAGGATGCTGATCTATAGTGGGATGGGGAGGAATGAAGGAACTTTGGACAGGTAAAAGGGAGGGAGGGGAAGGGAGGGGAMATGGGAGTAGGAAAGATGGTGGCATGAGATGGACATCATTACCCAAGTATGTGTGAAGACAGGAGTGTTGTGAATAYACTGTGTACAGCCAGGGTTGTGAAAACTTGTGCTCTCTATGTGTACTATGAAGTGAAATGCCTTCTGCTGTCATGTCTAACACATTAATATTTAAAAAATAAATAGTAAAAAAAGATCGATTTCTCTTTCCACCTAAGCTCCCTGCTCCAGAGCCGGGGCCCCCCGAGTGTAGTGTTCTCCGGGACCCGGGAGCCCGTGAATCCAGCCGTCCTGCCCAGCCCCAGGCCAGGTCCTCTGGGGGGAACCTGAGGAGCTGAYGCTGTGTGTTCTTCTCAAAGTGGGACAATTCTCACGGGTGCGTCCACCCTGCCACGACACCACCGTGGTCTGTGCACTCCAACCCTGTGACCATGGGCACACAGGCTCTGCACTCTGCCTGGGGCCTTCCCTTCTCTGCAATGGGATCAGCCTGCAAGCCTGTGTGGTGCTGCCTGGCGCACAGCGAGCCTCGGCCTCACCTGCCTCCCCAGCCCCCAAGCCTCCAGCTCACCAGGGGGAACTGGACTGCAGGTCCTCCTGTGGATCCTGCCCAGGTGCTCCGACCCTGAGGGTCAACAGGGCTGCAGGCCTGGGCATTCCTGGACAGTCCAGGCAAACCCTGGGTTCTTCCCTGGAGGCAGGAAGCCCACCTCAGGCAGAGGACACCTGCCTCTCCAGGGGCCAGATGCAGCCCACGGGACTCAAGCTGCAGAGAAATRTTCTGGAGCACCTCGGAGCTGGCTGTGCAGTGTGGCAGCACAAAGTGGCAGACCCGTGGGAAGGGGTGCAGGGAGGGCCTGCAGGGCCTCCCACCCCAGCCTCCCCAGGACGGGCTGATCACAATGGAGGAGGGAAAAGAAGCAGGGAACAGAGGCAGAGACCTTCGTGCCCACCCTCTTGGAGTGACCCTCGGGACTTGAGAAGTCCTGACCGTAGTCCCTCCTGCAGGAGGCCTGCACTGGCCTGCTCAGAGCCTGGGATTGAGGGCTTCAAACACAGGTGGCCATTAGAGATCCCTGTCCTCACCTTCAGGGAGGACACTGGCCCACCCCCGGGCAGCAGGTCCCTGTGTGGATCTGAGTCTGAGGACCACCCATTCCCCTGGGATAAGGGTGGCGTGCCCCAGGACGGGGATCTGTAGGTGGTGCCGCAGTCTGAGGCTCTGGTTCCTCAGAGAGCCTCCCACCAGCCTCAGAAAGGCCACGGACTTGGCAGACCCTGGGTTTCCACAGCCTGCTCCTCACTGTCTCCCCCTGGACCACAGTTTTCCTAAGATGGACATCTCTTGAGACCAGGTCATTACAGGTGGGATTCACCCTGAGACCTGATTTGGAAAGGCCCGTGGGCGGGGACTGGTCTTTGTTCTTGTGCTGGTGAACGGYACCTGTGCTACACTGAGACGTGAACACACTTCAGGGCCAGGTCGGCTGCGCAGGTCCATGGCCACCTGCCACGGACACAGGGTGTAGCTTTYGGGTGGCCTGGAGCTAGGGGACGAAGCCCGTGTGAGCCAAGGCCAAGACACCTGCCGTCTGACTCCTGGCCCAGGATGGCGTGAGCCTCACAGACAGCACGGGAAGCCTGCCATGGTACCCCTCAGGGTCAGGAGACAGATCTAGGGAAGGCCCCGCAGAGGGGGCACTGCTCTCTGCCAGGGGGCGGGGCAGGCACTCCAGAGCAGGTGGGCTGGGTTCCACAAAGACCTCAGGTGGCAGGGAGCCATCTGAGGGGGTGGGGCRGGGCACAGTGGAGGGTGGCCCAGCCCAGGTGCCTGTGCTGCTGACCTGCAGAAGCACAGCTGTGGGCACGTGCAGAGCCACCATGCTCTGCAGAGGCCGAGTCGACTGCCAAGACTCTGGCCTGCCAGATCCTCCTCCAGTTCTCATTCTGACCTCTCAACGAGCTGCTGCACTTGACCTTGTGAGGAAGGGAACCCCAGGGGACAGCTTCACCCCATCCCACCTGCCTCCTCTCGCTCCAGCTTTCCCAGCCCAGAACTTTCTTCTCTTCCCTGTCGCTCAGGTCCTGGAATCCTACCCCTCCTCTACAACCCCCAGGGGCAGCCCCTCAGACCTCCAGCCCCTCCTGCTGCCCGCAGCTGCGCCTGCTCCCTGCTCCCGTCTCCTCCTTCCTGTGCCTTCGGGTGCACATTTTTCTAGACTCTGATAAGAAGCAATTTCTGTGTACCGAGAAATCCCCATGGTACAGAGGCTGGGTCACGCCTATCTCTGTACTCTCTGTGGGCGTGCACCCAAGCCCTTGTGACGGGTGGTGACTTGGCTGCACTGGTGAGGTGTGCACTGGTGGTSTGTGGAGTCCAGAGCCCTGAGGCCCATCACATCTCCAGCACTGAAGTGTGTGCTGCCTTGGCCCAGCTCAG